TTTTTTTTTAAAAAAAAAACTGCCCTTCTTTTCAATATGCACCTGGAAAACAAGTTTAGGAAAGAATGATGCTAGAAAAAAGGCTGCCTTTTGATAGCTCCATAAAAGTAAACATATATTGAATTAAAATATAGGATCTCAGAATATGTTGTTATTTGGTGTTAGTTCTGTGTATGATAAAAAGGCCAAAGAATACTTATGAAAGAGGAATAACTGAAGCAAAACAATCAGATTCTTTCGGGAGTGGGGAGAAAAAATAGGAGCTTTGTAACTTGATGGAAGCACAGTGTTAGAAATCATATTCTTTTATTCAGCACTATATTCCTGCCTGCAGATAGATATGTGCATCGAATGGATTAACTCATGCAGGGACAAAAATAATGTGCCATGTATAACTTACCTGACCAGGCAGTGCTTCATAGGGATTTTATTCCATAGTAGCAGAAAGGATGCCTCATCCCCACATTCCAGCAGTTCCTGTCTGATAGGCAAATGTTTTTCTTTGGGCCTTCTGGACCTGCATATTACTAATTTATCTATGTTCCTTAAGGGAGCTTCAGGCCATGGAAGCTTTGCAGAATGGTCAGACCACATCAGAGAGTGGCATAGAAGGTCAATCTGCAGTTGCTGCTAGCCATGCTATGATAGAAAAAATACTCAGTGAAGAGCCAAGGTGGCAAGGTGAGTTCCTTGGGGCTTTACATAGTACTGAATCCAATTATGCTTCAATTACCCACTCCTCTAAGAAGCATCTTTGCGTAGGAATAAGTATGCTTGGGACTTGAATTAACTAATTATACTTATCTTCACAGACACAACTTATGTTTTGGGAAATTACAAAACAGAACAGTGTAAGAAGCCCCCACGCCTCTGTCGCCAAGGCTATGCCTGCCCTTACTACCATAATAGCAAAGATAGAAGAAGGAGCCCTCGAAAACACAAGTATAGGTACAGTACTTCCAAACCTGCCTATAAAAGCCAAGGCTTTACATTTTCTTCATTTGATAGTAGCTTTACTCTAATCGCAGTGTGATAGATACATCAGCGAAGGTGGGAGGATTGTATTTCACATTAAGTAGTTAATTCATGAATCAGGATTACATCAGTGGAGGATCCTGCCATAAGTAAGGATTAGGCTGCCTGTGCTTTAAGCCCGTTGCACTCTGTAACATGATGTCAAGAATCAAAAGAAAATAATCCTTGTAGCAAAATAAGTTCACATATGAACAGGTGGCCTTCTTTGTTATGAGAGGATTTCCAAGTTGTAGTTCTCAACACATTGCTCCGTTGGAGTTAAATTCTGGGAATGAATAGGGAATTCTTATTGAGATGAAACTATTCTGTCATAGTGTTTGGAATATTCTGTGTTTCCTCATGAAAACTGGACTGAACATCAAGCCTAGTGGCCTCAGAGGGGAGACTTGTTGAGCTAGCACCTTTCTGAGAAGTACATTTCAAGAAAAGCCATTTACCTCCTATTCATATGCTGATTAGCAGTTATTTATCTCTTTATGTTCCTGCTGCTGTGAGCTTTCCTTTTCTGAACATCAGGCTCTATTTTGGGGGATGTTTCAGGGCTCAACTATAACCCAGCTACGTACTTAAAATCTACTGGCCTTTGGCCAAGTTGAATATAAGTAAAAATAATTTGTATTTAGCATTGTTTGATGAAGTGCAGTCTTTCTTTCTTGAGGAAGACTAGCAAACAGTAAAGGTACTCAATGCCAGAAATTAAACTATGTGAATATTGTAGATACAGATTCTCTGTTTGGCTCAAAATTATATGAGCTTTTAACTCTTGTTCTTTTTCTCTTATTGCTGCAGGTCCTCCCCATGCCCTAGTGTGAAACATGGAGATGAGTGGGGAGATCCTAGTAAGTGTGATAATGGAGATGCATGCCAGTACTGCCACACCCGCACAGAGCAACAATTTCACCCAGAGGTAAAAACTCTCTTTGTTGGTCACCTACATAGATAAGTGCAGAAATTTCAGGATTCATGGGAGATGATAAACTATATAACTACTAATACTAATTACTGTTTTGGCTGTCTCAGCGGATGACCTACACCAGAAACTAGATGAGCGACTACAACTCAGTTTGTTTTTCATATGGCTTTTGATACCATTGATCATGGTCTTCTTCTTGACCATCTGGCAAGATTAGGCCTTGGAAACATTGCTTTGCAGTGGTTCTGGTCCTTCCTGCCCAGAAGGTAGTGCTGGGGGACTATGGTTTGACCTCCTAAGATATTGGCCTGTAGTGCCCCACAGGGCTTGTCTTGTCTCCCTGTGCTATTTAAAGCTACATGAAATTCCAGAGGGAGGTCATTCAGAGCTTTGGAGCAGGAGTATGTTGATGACACCCTGCTCAATTGCTCCCTACCTTCTAACTGCAAGAAGCAATCAGTCTCTTTGAACTTTGCTCAATCATGATAATGGACTGGATGACAGAGAACAGGCTGAAGTTAAATCCAGACATGATGGAGGTGCTCTTAGTAAGGAAAAAGGCTGTTGTTAAGGAGAAAGCTGGACTCTGAGTTGAAGCCTGTTCTATAGCCTTCTGAAGATATTCCCAGTGCTTTACTATCAGGAAACAGCTTTCTCTTGTGTGTCTGCCAGGCTATGGAATGAGCTCCCTAAGAAGGTGCAATCTGGGTTTTGATTTTAATTCTGTTATGTTTGATACATGCATGTTTTATTGTGTGGTTGGAATAAACAGAAAGGTGGTGTATACATTCAATACTATAACATATACGAGTTCAGTGCATCCTGCTTACATATGCAGAGAAAAATAAAGCCTTTCTGTTTTTTAGAGATTGTGAAATTGCTTAGAAACTCACTAGAAGGATTAAGATTGGGCTTCCTGGTAAGGTTGCTTCTGAAATGTACTAGAGAGTTCCAAGTTAAACAGCAGAAGGCAGGTTGAAGCAGAGTTCTGCAGACGGGAAAACAGCCTTCCCCAAGGCCACAAAACTCCAGCATTGTAAAACAGAAAGTTTGTGATTTGAAATGTCCCACAAGGAGCCAAAAGAAAATCAGCTCAACTGTCTAAAGAGAAAGATGGCATATACTCACAGTGGCATGTGTAGGAACTATGCCAAAGCCATGTGTGGAAGCGCCATGAAGGTATGGCTATCAGTGGGTGGGGCAGTGCATTTGGATTGATTTCCATGGATGCATATTATTGAAAAGTTTTCTTCTGAAATACAGGTAGTCGCCAGTTTAAGAACAAGTTCCGTTTGTCCTTAAGTCGAATTTGTAAGTAAGCCAGAACAGTATTATTGTATAATACTGTATAAGTACTATTGTGTATTTAACTCGAATCATTGTGTTTTTAACTTGAATTTTGCTACAATAGGCTCTGTTCTTAACTATGGGTCGTCCGCAAACAGGGCGTTCTTAACCTGGGGACTACCTGTAATTCTTTTGCTGAAAATGCATTGCCTGAACTGAAGCAGGCTTCCTGGATAGATCCATTGGAAGGGACAATCTTTGAGTAAGTTGCAAGGGCTATTGAGGTTAGAGTCCTGTATACATATTTAAAGATAAGGCCCTTAGAATGTCTGTATAGATGAGCATAGATTATGCTGTAATTCTGCCCATGTGTTATGCATAATATGTGTGCATCACTGGAAATAGTTCTTTAAAAATATAAAGTACAATTCTGTAGATATTAATTACAAGCATAGACTGAGGCCCAGGATTATATGCAGCACTCAAAGTCAAACAGAGTCTTCCAAATTTTATTTTTAGAATGATTTTTTTTTTTTTTTTTTTT